CCTGGGTTTCTTCGGTTTCGATGGTTTTGCGATGGACCGCGTGACGTTCCCACGCCAAAAAACAATGGACGCCCTGGGGTCTCAGGGTTGGGTTTCTTGCGGAAGGTTTCTTGTGGACTGGCCCCCACTGCACCCCTGCATCCTTGCCCCTTCGGCCCGTCCCTGGCCGCTTTCGCTGGCCGCGCCCCGCTCGAGAAGCCTCGAGATGGCCCTCGAGACCCTGGCATCCTTCTCGTGCGTCCTTCTGATGCGCGTTGACTGTGCAGCCACGGGAGCCCTCTGGCTCGCCGACTGCGGCCGTGCATCCCCGGCGGACGCGCGGGCACGGGCTCCAAGCCACCGCGGAGCAGCAGAGTGGTGAGCAGACGCCGGCCAGGCAGTCGCCGGGCAGGCCCAGAAGGCCACACGGGCCGACCTGCAACCGGCAGACTCGTGTAGAGAACCTGGGCTGTGGAGAAGCACTGAGCATGAACGAGAAGACACCCTGATCCCTCCAGCGGCACGCAATTGGGGACAAGGGTTGCGCCGGAGGTTTTTCCTCTATCTCGGCCCCGCATGGTCTCCCGTGAAGACTGCGGGTCAGTGCCAGAGCATCGTGTCTAAACCCCTCAGGCCTGCGGGCCGCAGCCCCTGGTCCAGACGGCAGGGGAAACAGGCATCTGATGGCCGCTCCCGGCCGCCTTCGCGGACCGTCGCGGGCAAGGCTACGACTCTGCAGTGCTGAGGAGGAGGAGGAGGAGGAAGGAGGGCGGGAGGGCGGGAGGGCGGGGAGGGCGGGAGGCGGAGGGCGGGGAGGGGCGGGAGGCGGGAGGGAGGGAGGGAGGGAGGGAGGAGGGAGGGATGGAAGAGGAGGAGAGGAGGAGGAGGAGGAGGAGGAGGGAGGGAGGAGGAGGAGGAGGAGGAGGGAGGAGGAGGAGGAGGAGGAGGGAGGAGGAGGAGGAGGAGGAGGAGGAGGAGCGGCCCACCAAGCGTCCGCAGCGGTCTCGGCCTCTTGGGTGCCCCGTGCTGTGCCCCCGAAGGCCCGCAGGAGTCGGGACGGAGTGTGAGTAGACGATCGGGGGGCGACGTGGGCGACGACGACGACGAAAGGACGACGACGGAAAGACGATGACGACGAAGAGACGACGAAGAGACGAAAAGACTGCGGCGACGACGATGACGATTGGCAGCTTCGCGGGGGGAGGGGCAGCTTCTCCCTACGATGCCATCCCCCCTCCCTCCACCCCCTGTGCGCGCCGCCAAGAGGGGCAGGAGGAGGAGGAGGAGAAGGAGGAGGAGTGTTGCGGGAGTGTTGCGGGCCAAAACGGATCACGACGCCCTACGGTTTCGTGCTGTGGGTCATCCTGGCCGCATCGGGCCGTCCCCGAGCCGAGCCAGAACGCCGTGCCCTCTGAGGGCTTGCCTCAAAGGGGCTTTCAACTTCTCGCATGAGCTGATTTCTGCACGGTAGCTGAGAGTGGACCATCCGAGCCCAGCGGCAGCAGACCCTGCTGCCACTGCCGATATTGGGCTCCAGCTTCGTCCCCGACTTCTCACAAGAGGCTTGCCATTGCGCCCCCGACGATATTGGGCTCTAGCTTCGCCTCTCGCTTCTTACAGGAGGCCTGCCACTGAATTCTCGATGGACTGCAGTCCTGCCTTGCACAGCTGCTCCTTTGCCATCCCGCGCGCGAGCTGATCCCAGGGATGTAGTTCGCGAAATGCCCGTCCGACCGCTGCGGCAACATAATCTGCTGCCACTGCCTGGGTTTGCGCACGCCCCGATCCCTGCACTAGCAACAAATGAGACTCGGGCTCCAGCTTCGCCTCCCGCTTCTCGCAGTGGTGTCGGAGCTGCCGCTGCCCTTCTTCTCGCACGAGCTGTTCCCAGCGTTGTAGCTGATTCCGCTGCTCGCTCTGGCCCCAGCGTTGCCCTACTACCCCCCTCCTCCCCTTGGCGCTGGAAAAGGGGGGGGGTCGACCTCCCCCTCTCTGCCCCCTTTGCGCCGAACAGGGGGCTGGGGAGGGGACCTCTCGGGTAGTGAGTAGAGAGTAGAGTGTTTTGAGTAGCGATTGGTGAGTGTATTTGATAATGAGTAGTGTGCAGTGAGTCGTGAGTAGTGAGTAGTGGGTACTGGGTAGTGGTAGTAGTGAGTAGCGCGTAGAGATTAGTGAGTAGCGAGTAGTGAGTAGTGGGAAGGAAGTAGAGCGTAACTAATTATGAGTAGTGAGTTGTGACTAGTGAATCGTGTGTAGAGAGAAATGCATAGTGAGTGTTCCGCATGTCAGATTAGCTGGGGAGATTTCGACACTCACCTGACCGCTGTCGTTTGTTCCAGCCTTTTCTTTTTGCGCCCTCAGCGCACGTTGCCTTCGTCGCCTTTCCCGAGCCTCCGCCCCCTTGCTTCCTTTTCCCTCAAGTCTCGCGCATGGGTGCATGCGGGGGGCTTCAATTGGTTCCCCCGCCGAACACATCAATCGAGGATGCATCGCCCATTCACTGCCCATAAAGACATCAGTGCCGGGACCCTGCGCCCGACCCCCACTTTCACCCTCCAAATTTGGCGGCCAAAGGGGGTGGGGGGGGGTTCGGAACCCCCTCCCCCGCCTTTCGAAAGGGGGGAGGGGGGAGGGATTCCCCGAGGACGGACAGGGAACGGGTGGGAGGGGGGGGGGGGTCCCCGACGACGGATCGGGAAAGAGGGTGAGGGGGGGGGCGGGTTTCCGACGACGGATTGGGGAAAGGGGATGGGGGGGGGTCCCAACCCCCCCTCCCCCTTGGGGTCATCCAGCGGCGCGCCCTCGTGATCACGGCCTTGGTGGTGTTGGTGTCGGCGTGGCGCCGCTGTAATACTGCTAGTTCTCGTAGCCGCACTGCAACCGCTTCCCAGAGGTTGGCCTCTTTGCGCTTGGCTGTGTTCTTGAAGGGTTCTGATCCATGCTGGTGGACTGCCTTCTTTTTCTGAAGATGTGGTACGCCTCCTCGAAATTGATTACGTTGTGTCGAGTGCCCTTGTAGAATCGCCGGCGACGTCTCGGCTGCTCTGCTCCACTGACCGAAGTGCCGTTTCAGTAGTTCTGCCCCCTCTGGGCCCCGTCGGTAGTTCCAAGCGCGCGGGGTAACTGCGGCCGCCCTTTCCACTGGTTCGTCGCAATGCTGGTGTAATGCCTCCATCCACATGTCATCTGTCGTCATACCTTTGACCTCCTTCAGGTACTCCTCCTCCAGCAGGTGTCGGTGGATGTCGTGCGGGTCATTGCTGGTGTTGGTGACGTGGTCGTCTTCTGGTTGGGTCAGTTTCGCGTGAAGCTCCCGATCGTGCTGAGCTCGTTTGGGACTTTTCCTGATCTTCATCTTCTGCGTCGGGATTTGCAACAGGACGGGTTGTCGCGGCACCTGGATATTGACCGCTGCTGGCCTGGCTGCCAGCGCCAGATCGAGTCCGAGGTGCGGACTCGACGGCGCATCTCGCACCACCTTGAAGTGTTTGACCAACGGGAAGAAATTGCGTGAGCAGACTCCGTAGTCGATGAGCCGCCCTTTGCCCGAAGTACACGTGAATGGGCTGTCCGCTGGTAGAAGGAGTTCTCCGAGAGCTTGCAGCCATCTGGTATTTGCGAACTGCTCTGGCGTGTTGTTCCAATCGCCAAGCGCGACCCACGGCACGGCGAAGGACTTGACCACGCGCGTTAGCTGGAGCATCTTGCTCGCATTCTCGTTCTCGAAGCCTTTGCCCGAGTCTAAATAGATGCAGATCAGCGCTAGTGTGACTCCCTTGCGTCTCCAGATCATAACTGATATGTCCTTCAGGTTCTTCTGGAACACGCTCTTCCCCGTCGCATCAGGTAGGTGTGCTGAAGTAAGAAGCCCTGCTCGCGCCGTCCAGCAGGTTCCCCCATGAGTACCAGTCGTACTCCGCCCCGTAGGTGTAGCTGGAGTCCACGTGTGCTGCGAATGCCACCCCTGGCGCCGCAACTTCATGGCTTCGATCTTCGTGGCATTCCCGAGCAAGTGGTGTTCCGCAATGCCGACAATGTCAAAACTGGTGTGCTGCACATAATGCCGCACCTTCTCGCCGAAGTGAGTGACGTTCGCGAACAGCACGTGTAGCGCGCGGTCCACAGATGCACCTGCATTTATGGGCTTGGCGACGCGTCCGCTGGAGTTACCCGCAGGTTGTCCCAGCTGATGCGCCTCCGCCGCCGCTGGCAGCTGCCGCTGTAGCCGCCCGCGCCTTGGCCTTGACCTTGAACTGGGCCGTTGCCTCAATGCACTTGTTGACGGCTTCAGGATCTGTGAAGTCCAGGTTCTCAGCGCGGACGCCTTGCTCGTCTACCTTGGTGGTGTTCTCAGGGCCTGCACTGGTAGCCTGGGCCGTTCCGTCGCTGCTCTTCTTCCGCTTGGTGTTGACTTCCTTGTGTAGCTTCCGAAGTCGCTTAGCTGCTTCTTTGGCATGTTGGCCTGTTGCCGCCGCCTGCTTGAGCGCCGCCGACGCCTCAGCTGCTGCCTTCTTAGCCGCTTCGTACTCTCGCTTTCCTTCAGCTCCCAGCGTCTCCAAGTCTTCTGCGCCCAGCTCTGGGAACTCGGTCTCCTCCTGGGGCTTCTCCTGATCTGCCGCGGTAGCTGCTCCCACAGTGGTTTTCCCCACCAGGTTGTCCACCTCCGCCTGCGCTGCCAAGCACTGCTCCAAGTTCTCACTGAGGCGGTGGAGGAGCTCCTTCTGGGACTGGGCAGCCGCCACCAGCTGCGCCTTGATTTTGCCCTGTTGAGTCTGTAGTCGTCGAAGCTTCTGTGCGGCCGCTGTCAGCTGTTCCTCGGGTGACTTGACTGGTGGTGGCCTCCAGATCTCTCCAAGCCCTGGGCAGATCGCGAGCAGTGCCTGCTGCTTGGTGGTGTCGTTGTCCTCCCTGGCCTTGGTGTACTGCGGCAGGAGGACAGCCGCCGGTCCGCCTGCAGCTCCTGCGCCTGGCCGCGGTCCTGGTTTGACGATGGACCGCATGCCTTCTGCAGGTTCTCGTCCTGCCACCACGTCGGCAAAGGATGATCCGCGCTGCTGCAACTGATGGGCCCTGCCGAGCTCGCTCCACGACATGCCACAGGACGCGCATGCTTCCCACCCCTGCTCCCCAGCCTTGCTGAGGAATGCCCAAGAACAGTGCGGACACGTGATGTAGGGTTGTTGCCTGCTCCTGGAAGATGACCTCTGGCGCGCTTTGCCATCCTTCGGACCACCTCCCATGGAAACTTGCACACGCACTTTCGCCGCCCTTCTGAGCGCCCCTCAAGCCGCGGATACGCCTGAATGAAATCCCCTAGAAACCAGTTGGCGCACGGTACGCGTACGTGTGTGTGAAACGGGCCGGCCCCCAGAATGGACTCGACACACAAAGGTTTGAGATGAGGAGGAGGAGGAGGAGGAGGAGGAGGAGGAGGAGGAGGAGGAGGAGGAGGAGGAGGAGGAGGAAGGAGGAGGATGAGGAGAGGAGGAGGAGGAGGAGGAGGTTGAAGAGGAGGAGAGGAGGAGAGGAGGAGGAGGAGGAGGAGGAGGAGGAGAAGGGGGAGGCGGAGGGGGAGGCGGAGGCGGCGGAGGAGGAGGAGGAGGAGGAAAAGGAGGGGGATGAGGAGGAGGAGGAGGAGGAGGAGGAGGAAAAGGAGGGGGAGGAGGAGGAGGAGGAGGAGGAGGAGGAGGAGGAGGAGGAGGAGGAGGAGGAGGAGGAGGGGGAGGAGGGGGAGGAGGGGGAGGAGGAGGAGGAGGAGGAGGAGGAGGAGGAGGAGGAGGAGGAGGAGGACGAGGACGAGGAGGACGAGGAAGAGGAGGAATACTAGTAATCATACTTCGAATACCCAGAATACGATTATCAATACCACTATCAACATTACGAATAATACGGCAACTACCATTCAGAAACATAATAATAGACATGCTATTACTACTGATAAGGAGAAGCATACGCATACGAACACGAAAACTACGACACATGACAACAATAATAAGCATACGAGTATACATGAGAAATACTACTAAGAGTACGACTAGTACCAGTATTAAGAATACTACTAATAATATCACACGTCAGACAATTGTGAAGAAGACTCATGATACTATTACTGATGCGAACATATACTCTGAGCAATATTAATAATGATACTATAGTATAATAATACGACTAATACGTTTCCTACAAATATCAACATGACAAGTAACGACTAAACATGATACTGATGCCATTCGTACTACTAATACTGATACTAAGAAGAAGGGGACTACTAACACTAACAATACTAATAACACTAACAATAATAATACTAGCAAGACTACTCATCCTAATAATGGGAATAGGTATTCATTCCAAGAATAAGACGAATAATGACAAACTAATGCTTATAATAAGAATAAGCAGAATACGAATGCCAATCAGAGTAATAATAAGACTAATACTAATAACACTAAGGGGAGGAGGAGGAGGGGGAGGAGGAGGAGGCGGAGGAGGAGGAGCAGGAGGAGGAGGAGGAGGAGGAGGAGGAGGAGGAGGAGGAGGAGGAAGGGGACGAGGAGGAGGATGAGGAGGCGGAGGAGGAGGAGGATGGGGGAAGAGGAGGAAGAGGGGGAGGAGGAGGCTGGCTCCGCGCAGCCCGCCGGGCCGCCGGCAGGTGCAGCGTCACGCCGCAGCGGGCTGGCCCGAGGGCGCAGCTGTGGATGATGTGGCGCCACAGGCGCGCTTCGCGCTGCGTCGAAGGAAACACTGCGGGGATCATGACCAAGATTCGAAGACAAACATTGACATACACCTTGGGCGATGCTTAAGAAAACCTAAGTTTTCGGCCAGAGTCTCGATTATTCTTAACGTTTCAATGTAAATCCTAAGATTTCAATTGAAATGTTTGGTTTTTACGTCAGTTCTGAGACTATGAATTTCTTAACCCATGATTTCTTAAGCATTTCCCAGGGTGTAAACATAAACGTTTGGCGCGCCGCGCGGATTTCTTGGATCCGCGCTGGGTCCCCCTGGCGGCGCCTCTGGCGCCGCCCCTGGCGCGGTCCGCGCGCCAGAGGGGGGTCCAGCGCAGATCGAAGGAATCCGCCCGGAGCGCCAGAAGTTTATGTTTGTGGCGTTTTTGTGTTTTTTAGATGCCGCGGTATCTTGTCAATGCCGATTCTGGTCATGGTTCATGCCAGCCGTCGCCGATTCGCGAAGATTATTCACGCATTGACGCTGACCAAGATCGACGGTGACCAAGATCGATACGGCGTTTCGTCGTTCAGTTTTGGTCATCGTCCCCGTTCGGGCCGCGGGGGGGGGGCTTCAGGGAGGAGTCGGGGGCAACTCAAGCAGTGGCGAGGCGTCCTGGCTTGGCTACAGGCTCAAGAACCTGTTGGTGGCTAGGGTGAGACATTTTAGAACATTTCTAGCTCAGTCCATCTTGTTTGTCACACATCGGCTTTATGCTCTAAGAACGTGGTTTTCGTTGTTCGATAATTCGTTCGAAGAACATGTCGTGGTAGGCCTTTCAAGAGGGAGGGGTGGATTCAGGGAGGAGAATTGATGAAATGATGCCAATACTGCCACCGCCACGCCTCTGGCGCCGCGCCGCTGCCGCTGCTCAAACTGGGCCTGACGAGAAACGCTCGTCTTGATCAGATGCGTCGCCGCAGCGAGGATGACGCCCAGGTTCCGAGGAAGAGTAGGTACCCATTCCTCTGGTCTTCCTGTAAAGCCGTTGCCGCCACGGTTGGGTTCTCTTCGAAATCCCACTCAGAGCTGCCAGTTGCTCGGCTTCTATCTGACACTTTTCATCGTTGGAGCTACAGGCGCGCAGGCGCGCTGGGAGGTTTGCAGGCGGCCCGCGCCCCCGAGGATGGCGATGTCGAGTCTGTCTTTGCTACTGTGGTGGACCTTCCAGCAGCCCCGTGACAGTTGCGACAATTTCGTAGATCGCAGCCCCCCAAGGATGGCGAGGTCCAATCTGAGTCACCGTGCAGTCTCCAACACGCTGGCTTTTCCAGCAGCAGAAGAGAGTGACGACAGTTTCGCAGATCGCAGACTCTCAGGGATGGCGGAGTCGAGTTGTATACACTTCGGTCGGTGCCTGTTATGGTGGCCCTCGCAGCAGCCTTTGAACGTGGTGATAGCGTCGTTGGTCGCACTCCCCCACGGATGGTGAGGTCTAATATGAGCCTGCGCTCGGTACCCACTACGGCGGCCTCCACGGCAGCCCCCTCTCGCAGATCGCAGCCCCCGACGGATGGCGAGGTGTAATCAGGGCCTCCGCTCGGTACCCTACGGTGGCCTGCCCAGCAGCCTTCTGAACATGGCGGCAACCAAACCGAACGCAACCACCCAGGGGTGGCGAGGTGTCATCTGAGTTTGCCCTCGGTGCTGACCATCATCATGGCCCTCCCAGTAGTCGTCGAAAGTGGCGACACTTTTGCACATCGCATCCCCCCAAGGATAGCGAGCCCTAGTATGATCCTGAGATCAGTACCCACTACGGTGGAATGAGTTGGAGTGTGAATGAGTCTCAGTAGTACGAGCGCGTCTCTGCGCATGAGCCTGGGGCCTCCCAGGGCGTACTGAAACCTCCTGGCGCTTCCTGGGCCTCCTGGAGCCTCTTGGGGTCTCCTGGTGCCTCTTGGGGCTTCCTGTGGCCTCCAGTCACCTCCTGGGGCCTCCTGTGGCCTCCTCCCGGGGAGGATTCGTGCCCCAGGAGAAGCCGAATCTATAGGAACATCAGTATATAATATATTGCGGATTGGAACTGCAGGAGAAGCGCAATCGATAGAAGGGCAATCTAGAAGAACACACGTAAAACACCAAGGGCTCGTGCCCCAGGGGAGGCCCAATCCGTAGGAACATTAGTAAAACACTTAGGATCGGATGCAGAGGAGAAGGGCAATCTATAGAAATATTCGTAAAACATCAAGGAATCGTGCTCCAGATGAGGCCCGATCTATAGGAGCATACGTACAACACATTGGATTGGAGCCCCTCCTGGGGCCTTCTGAGGCCTGCTTCTCCTGGGGCCTCTGGTGCCTCCTGACGCTTCCTGTGGCCTCCTGGTGCCTCCTGGAGCTTCCTGTGGCCTCCTTGGGCCTCCTGTGGCCTGCTGGGTCATCTTGGAGCCTCTTGAGGCCTCCTTGAGCTTCCTTGGGCCTCCTGGAGCCTTTGGGGCATCCTGTGGCCTCTTGAGCCGTCATGTGGCCTCCTGATGCCTCCTGGGACCTCCTGTTGCCTCCTGGGGCCTCGTGGAGCCTGCTGGAGCCTCCTGTGGCATCCTGGGGGGACCTGTGCCCACAAGCCTGGCAACCAAGCAAACCGACCGAGACATGTACGCGCCGGAGCACGACCCAGAGGAAGCGCACAAGTGCGTCCCAGTGGATACGCGCTGCGGCACGACCCAGAGGAAGCGCACAAGTGCGTCCCAGGGGATACGCGCTGGAGCACGAATCAGAGGAAGCGCACAAGTGCGTCCCAGGACATACGCGCTGTGGCACGACGCAGAGGAAGCGCACAGTATCGTCCCAGTGGATGCGTGCCGGAGCACGACCCAGAGGAAACGCACAAGTGCGTCATAGTGGATATTCGCTCGCTGTGGTGCGACCCAGCGGAAGCGCACAAGTGCGTCCCAGTGGATACGCGCTGGAGCACGACCCATAGGAAGCGCACAAGTGCGTCCCAGTGGATTAGCGCTGTGGCACGACCCAGAGGAAGCGCACAGGTTCGTCCCAGTGGATACGCGCTGGAGCACGACCCAGAGGAAGCGCACAAGTGTGTCCCAGTGGATACGCGCTGGAGCACGACCCGTAGGAAGCGCACGGGTGCGTCCCAGTTGATACGCGCCGGAGCACGACCCCGAGAAACGCACAACGGCGTCCCATTTGGCACGCGCCGGAGCACGACCCATCGGAAGCGCACAAGTGCGTCCCAGTGAATACGCGCTGTGGCAAGACCCAGAGGAAGCGCACGAGTGCGTCCCAGTGGATGCGCGCTGTGGCACGACCCGTAGGAAGCGCACGGGTGCGTCCCAGTTGATACGCGCTGGAGCACGACCCAGAGAAAGCGCACAAGTGCGTCCCAGGACATACGCGCTGTGGCACGACGCAGAGAAATCGCACAGTATCGTCCCAGTGGATGCGTGCCGGAGCACGACCCAGAGGAAACGCACAAATGCGTCATAGTGGATACTCGCTGTGGCGCGACCCAGCGGAAGCGCACAAGTGCGTCCCAGTGGATACGCGCTGGAGCACGACCCATAAGAAGCGCACGAGTGCGTCCCAGTGGATGCGCGCTGTGGCACGACCCATCGTAAACGCACAATGGCGTCGCAGTGGATACGCGTCGGAGCACGACCCAGAGGAAACGCACAGGTGCTCCCAGTTGATACGCGCACAATCCTCCTCCTCCTCCTCCTCCTCCTCCTCCTCCTCCTCCTCCTCCCCCTCCTTCTCCTTTTTGTTCGTGGTCCCTGTTCGCCAAGAAACTTTCACCACGAACTCCATTCGCGCGAAGCTGCACGAGCTGTACTCGCCTCGAGCTGCTCCTGCCGCCGCCCCACTCAGCGCGAGCTCCACTCACCACGATTCAGCACGAACTCCACCACCACGATTCTGCACAAACTCCACTCACCACTCACGACCAGCTCCGCCACCACGACCCAGCACGAGCTCGATTCACCACGAGCTTCACTCACCACGAGCTCCACTCCCGCAGCCGACTGTGTTTGTCTTGAGCTCGAGGTTTGCCTTCAAAACAGGCGAACCGCTCGAGACATCCTCGCAATCTAGCAGTAGGCCTCTTCCTCGGCCTTCAACTTTGATGCGTTCAACCTTGAGCGCCTCGCTCGAGGCATCGTCCGGTTCTGCTCTGAGCGCAGTCGAGTCTGGCTTCGCGAACTGCTCGAGACATCCTTGCAGTCTGGGCTTTTGGGGTGCGAAAGCCAACGCTTCGCACAGACATCCTCCAAATCTGCTCCAAACCCAAGGATGCTGGGGCACCGAAGCGGGCAAAGTGGTTGAGACATCCCCGCAATGAGGGCGCGAACGAACGCCGTGCAATACCCATGGCAGCCCCCCACTGAAGAGCACCGAAGCCAGCAAACCGCTTGAGACATCTTGAGAATTTGCTTTGATCGCAGGCGAGTCTGGCTTGTAAAACAAGCGAACCGCTCGAGACATCCTCGCCATCGGGGCCCCCTGGGGTGCGAAAACCAACGCTTAGCCCGGGACATCCTCCAACTTTGCTCGGAAATCCAAGGATGCTGGGGCACCGAAGCGGGCGAACTTGTTGAGACCCCGCAATGTGGGCGCGAACGAACGCCGTGCAATACCCATGGCGGCCCCCCCTGAGGAGTACCGAAGCCTGCAAGCCGCTTGAGACATTTTCAGAATCTGCTCTGAGCGCAGACGAGTCCGGCCCGTAAAACAAGCAAGCCGCTCGAGACATCCTCGCCATCTGGGCCCCCTGGGGTGCGAAAGCCAGCGTTTCGCACGGGACATCCTCCAAGCCTGCTCCTAAGCCAGAGGATGCTGAGCTGGTAAACAGGCAAACCGTTTGAGACATCCCCGCGATCTGGGCGCGAGCGAAGGCCGTGCAATACCCCTGGCGGCCCCCTCTTAGGAGTGTGACAACCAGCAAACCGCCTGAGACATCCTCAGGATCTGCTCTGAGCGCAGGCGAGTCTGTTTACCACAACAGGCAAACCGCTCGAGACAGCCTTGCAATCTGGCCCCTTCTGGTCATCAGCACCTGCATCACCATCACCATCGTCATCATCATCATCATCATCATCATCATCATCATCATCATCATCATCATCATCATCATCATCATCACAAGCAACATCAGCATCATCATCAGCATCCTACCAACCATGATCATCGTCAGTATTACCGTCGTCATCATCTTCATCATCATCATCATCATCATCATCATCATCATCATTATGCATCATCATTCATCATATTCATAATCATTTTCATCAGCACCACTCATCATCTGCATCATCATCGTCGGCATCATACTCTTATTGTTACCATTCGACATCATTCTACTCTGAGAGCACCATCACACTTTCAGTAAGATGGGGAAGAGAGTGAGGAGGGGAGGAGGAGGACGAGGAAGGAGGAGGTCCACGCGGTCCAAGTAATGACAAGAACCCCTTATCTTAGGATATGGGGAGTAACATCGCATAACTTATTCATCATTGGGATGTGCATCGTCATCATCATCATCAGCTAGATCAACTAACATAGCATAACGTAACAACACATATCATACCACATCGTACTATACCGTACCGTACCATACCATACGCTGACATACCATATATACCATACCATACCATACCATACCATACCATATCTTGCTATACAATACTTCACATCATCCCATAACACAACATGTTATAAAAAAACCACATATCGTAACTATCGGAACATACCACACCATACCAAAGCAAACCATGAGGAAGAGGAGGCAGTCAGGGTGTTGGCTCGGTCGGAGTAATAACAATAACCCCATCCTTTGGATGCGGGGAACGTAACATAACATAACACAACGCACCATAGCACTACATAACAGTATAAAGCATACCATGGCCTAACCTAACATAACATAACATATCATAACACAGCATATCATATCCTACCATAGCATACCAGGCCATGCCACAGCATAACATGAGGAGGAGGAGGAGGAGGTGGAGGAGGGACTGCGGGAGTTGGCGCGGCCCGATTAATACCAATCACCCAATCCTTTGGATATGGGGCACGACATTTAAGCTAGCATCACATACCTTAGCATGAGATATCAGTGTTTAGCAAGCCGTAGCATAACCTAACTTAACCTAACATAGCAATAGCATACCACAACACAACATACCATACCATACCATACCATTCCATACCATGATTCAGAGGAGGATGAGGAATTTGTGAGGGAGTTGGCGCGGTCGGAGTAATAACAATAACTCCGTCTGTTGGATATGGGAATGCCATAACATAGTACAACATGCCATACCATACCATACCATACCACACAGTACCATGTCATACCATACCATAACATAGCATAGCTCATACTGTGCCGGAAGGGAAGGGCTCTTTCGCCCCATCCCCCTTTCCCCTGTCGTGTGCCAGGTGTGGGGGGGGGCTTTTCGCCCCCCCCCCCCCCCCTCTCGCGCCGTGTTTGTTGGATGTCGCTCTCTCGGCTGTTTGGAGTGTTCGTTCGCCGTTCGACTCGGTTCTGTGCCATTGCCGTCGTCATCGCCGTCGCCACAGTTCCCCCGTGTCGCATCGTTTCGATTCGGTCCCGCCGCGGCGATCCCTCGCGAAGGCGCGGCTGCGGAGCATCCAAGCTCGGCCCTGAGAGTGCAGAGGCGGGGGATGGGGAAGAGGAGGACTGCAGCAGCAGCCGTGGCCGCGGGATGGGAGGAGATGGCCCAGTGTCCAGCGTGTCGGCAGCGAGCGAGGGGGGGAAATGAGGAGGAGAAGGCCTTCTCAGAAGCCCTCGCGCCTTCTGAGAAGGCTGTTTCTGTCGTCGTGGAAGGCTCAGACAGCTTCTTAGGAGGCTGGGGGACTTCCGAGCCTTCTGAGAAGGCCCTCTCCTTCTCGTTTTCCACCCTGGCTCGCCGCCGAGAGTGTCCTCCCCGCTGCCTCCTCCCGGTGGCCCCCTCCGCCACGCGCCCCCCCCACCCCCCCCGCTGGGGTCCCGGCGCTGCTCCTCTTCTGCGGCCCGAGAGGTACAACCCAGCGCAGCGGGACCTGCAGCTGCAGATCAGGCGCGCGCGCCGCCGTCGTCCTGTGTCGCACTGGCGTTAAGCTGGGCATGTCCCTCTACAGGAGGAACTTTCAAGAGTAGCCACAGAATGGTCTGGGGACGATTTTTCTATCATTCTGGACTACGTTCGGGTATCCTTTGATTGTTGCATCTTCCAAAATCCGCCTGTAGGAGGACCTGCCCGACGTAACACTGGCGGCGTGGGCGCACGAGGCGCTCCGGAGAGGGCCAGGGCTGGATCTGCAAACGTTGGCGGAGAGGCCCGGGGAAGGAGGCGGAGCCGATCGGAAAGACTGCTTGCGCCGGCGGCGAGGCAGGGGTCCTCTGGCCAGCGGAATGGCCTAAGCGGTGATGCCATTGAAGCGAACTGTGCCACCATGCAGGAGGGAGGGGAAAAGCGGAGGACGCGGCCGAACGAGGGGTCGGGCGCCTTGAGACGGGGGTCAATGCAAACGGGGGTCAGCCAGAGCGCCCGATCTTTCAGGATCCTGCAGGGCCAGGGTCGCATGGACCCGGGTTGGGGCGCAGGATCCTGCAGGATCCTGCAGGATCCTCCGCAGGGGCCCGGGCTTGGGCGCGGGATGTTGCAGGCCTTTGCAGGCTTCTGCAGGGCCTGACCGACGGAGGAGGAGGATGCGGAGGAGGAGGAGGAGGAGGAGGAGGAGGAGGTGGGGGGGGAGGAGGAGGAGGAGGAGGAGGAGATCCCCGAGGGGCGCGGAGGGAGCGGGCCGCGCACGGGGACGGGTCGCGCCCTGGGCAAAGCGGGAGAGGGCAGCGCGGGCCGCACCGCCCAGGTCCGGCCCTGGAGGGGGGGCCTCGGCCTCGAGGAGCGGAGAGGCGCTGGCCTCTCGCGGCCTCGGAGGCAGCCCTGCAGGTCCGCGGGGGGGCGGGCGGAGACGGGGGGGGGGCGATCGAGCCGCCGCCGAGTGAGCCAACGCGCAGCCAGACGCGCTCGAGTGCACAGCCAAACGTAATTACGGCCTCTGGTTTCGAATAGCCTCCTGAGGCCTCCTGAGGTTTCGCGCGGCCTCCTGGGGCCTCCAAGAGCCTCCTGGGGCCTCCTGGGGAGGATCCGTGCCCTACGAAGAGATGCCCAAATCTATAGGAACAGGCGTAAAACACTTCTGATTGGAGCCCCAGGAGAGGATCGGAACTCGCGCAGAACACAAAGGACTCGCGCACCAGGGGAGGCCCATTTCAGAGGAACATACGTAGAGCATCATTATAATCTGCTCCGCCATCATCGGTCCCAACTGTTCTGAACCAGACGACCTTTTTGCCTCAAGTTGTTTTAATTTCTCGCCAGACGAACCTCTTAGATTCAATTTCTCTCAATTTGGATCGCCCCACGATATTATATATCAATTTCTGTCAATCCCTTTCAAGATCTTTCAACTATTTTCCATTCCTCTCAAGATAGTTCACCATCAGAAAACGCTTCTACACCATAACTTTTTGAGGGGCCGTTGCTCTCTGAAGAAAGCTTTCGCGATGTCCCCGAGTGCGCTCAACTTTCGCTCCCCCGTCAACGCCACCCCCATGTGGATCTGCATGGGGAAAGCCAACGGCGCCCCTGGCGGAGGCGTTGGCCACGTGCTGTGTCTCACGTAAGCCAGGGCTGGACCTGAACGCTGTTTTGCTGGACTTCGGCTGTGTTTTGTTTCTCGTCTTGGCAGGGCGGTGCAGGAAAACAGGGCGAGCAACATCGAACAACAACTGAGGGCAGGCCCCGGGGTCCAGGACCCGTTCCCAGAGGGCCCGCTTCCCCCAGGCAACAGGCAGCGTGGGCTCAGGTGTTGCAAGCACGTGCTGCGCATCGGGCGTGTGATGTCAGCGCGCGGCGCTCCCGAAGCAACGGCAGCGCCGCGGGAGGAGCGCTGCCGGCCGAGGGCCAGCGGGGGGCTGCGTACAGCGTGCGTGCTCGGTGTGTGCAGCTGCCTGCTCTCTGGCCGGGGGACTCGCGCAGGCATGCGGTGGACGGGCCCGATTCTGAGCTTTGCGCGCAAGAGGCGTCCGAGCCCTCGTCGTCGCCGTCGTCGCCGCCTCCGTCGTCGTGGTCGTCGTCCTCGTCCTCCGCAGGGAGGAGGGAGGAGGGAGGAGGGCGAGCCCTGCCGCCTCCCCCCGCGGTCCCGAGCGGAGGCCCTACATGCTGAAGGACCCCACCCTCGTGGCCGACGCGCTTTCGTCCTGCTTCAAGACCAAGAGGCCCGCGCCGTCCCCTCCCGCGGCCGCGGGGGGGGGGCGTCGCCCAGAGCGCGGCTCGCCCCCACGAGCGGGAGGCACTCCCTCGCGGCATCTGCTGCCAGGCGGCCTCGTTCTTCCTCCTCCTCCTCCTCGTGCTCATGCTCCAGCTCCTCCTGCTCCTCCTGCTCCTCCTCCTCCTCTTCCTCCTCCTCCTCCTCCTCCTCCTCCTCCTCCTCCTCCTCCTCCTCCTCCCCCTCCTCCTGGCACGAGCGGCGCTCTTGTGCGCGAGGTTGCGGAGCGCGAGCCGGGAGCTTCGCCCCGCGACCAGGTGGTGCCTCGCTGCGCGCCTGCGAATGCGCTGGCGGGCGGGGCCGCTCCAGGGCGCCGGTGGGCTCGGCGAAAAAGCACGATCGGTCGCGTCGTGTCGACCGGGGTCTCGCTCCCCGAGCAGTCATGCCGCGCCGCGTGGCGTCGACGTTGGCAGGATGAGGGAGCCAGAGGGGACGGTTCTGGCGGCGCCTTTCGAAGCGCTGGGGGTGGGAGCACTGCTCTGTCGGCCACGTCATGTGAGTCATATCCAGCGGGGTCTCGCTTTGTTGCTGGCGGCGCCGCCTGCGGGGCCGCCAGTGGAGTCGCTCCGCGACTTTCGGCGGGATGGGATCCGCCAGGGACCGCCGAGGGTTTCCAATTGAGCGTCCTTTCGTGGGGGGCCCCGCAGCCCGGGAGGGACAGTACAGTGACAGAGCGGCCAGATGGACGAAAGAAGCACGGCCCGCCTCGTTGAGCGACTGGAGGGCGGAGGAGATCGACCCGGCCCGCACCGCTGCTGAAGAGAAAGAGAACTCGGGCGAGTCTTGTGCAGAGGCCTTGCGCGGGGGGCACTATGCGCCTTGTGCAGGGCTCTTGTCAGGCGATCGCAAACATGGATTGAGGGGGCGTGGATTAGCGACGGGTCCCGCTTCAAATATTTATTTGCGGATTTCCGCTGCCGAGCGAGGCGGCACCGACCGCATTTTGGGGAGGGCACCTCCCCCGATCCATGGATTCGGGGACCGCGCGCCAACTCCATGGATCGCTAATCGATGTTTGCGCGCCCCCGATCTTGTGGGTGTCCTTGGGATTCGATCTGTGTGAGCATGCTGCTAAGAGGGAGGAGGCGCATAAGATGGGAGGAGGCGCATGATATGATCCGTGACAGGGAGGCGGCGCATACTGTGCACGATAGAGACTCCACCGAGGCCCTTGCACGACCCCTCGTGCGCCGTGTGCGCTGGCACTCGTCGCTCAGACTCTCAAGCAGTGGCGAAGCGTCCTGGCTCGCTTGTAGGCCCACCAGAGAATGCTCTAAGAGAGCCTTTTGTGGTTTGCACGAAGTGTTCAGAACCCGCCTGTAGGAGGACACGCTCGACCTAAGGAATGGACAAAGTGTCGATCGCTTATCGTGGTCCTGATGCTCGTGGCTCCCTGTCACTGGGCACGTCCTCAGGTTTGTCGAGGAGGTCGAGCTGAAGGAGGAGGGCGACAACGAGTCGCCAGACTACGAGAAGGTGGAGATGCTGAGGCCCGTCCCCCTCCCTGCGGCGCCTTGCCGGCCTGGCGGGCCCCGGCCCGGCCCGCACGCCTGCTGCGGAGGCAGGCAGGCCTTCGGCAGGCCTTCGGCTGTCCTGTCCTGTGTTGCCGCCATCCAGGGGAGGGTGGAGGAGGAGGAGGAGGAGGAGGAGGAGGAGAGGGGTGCAGCGGCTGAGGGCTTTTGCGGGATTTTTGCGTGTTCGGGCTGGTGCGTGGAATTTCGGGGAGGAGGTGGAGGATGGGGGCAGGAGGACGAGGAGCGGGAGGATGGCGTCTCAGGAGGACGCCTGAACATGCCCGAACGCTGCGCAGGGAGTGGGTGATGCCTCTTTCATGTCGTGCTCTCACAGATGCCGTGACACCCTTCAGAGGACCTTTCAGAGCAAAGCGCAGGTTGGCGGCTCGCTGCCCAGAGAGCGGGGACACCTTGCCTTCCAGCCGTATTCCACCGCGCGGGCAAAGCCTTCAGGCCTTGTGCGCGCATGCTCTGCTCGCAACCAGACCCCGCCCTCCAAGAGGCCGAGCGTTTCCTTCTCCCTCTCTCGGGTGTTGCTAGACGTACCCCTGGCCCAAGGTACCCCCAAGATTCTCGGGGTGGCCCAGGCGACCTCCAGGGCACCCCTCACGAGGCCCAGAGGGCCCCAGGGGCTCCAACATTGACCGAAAGGCTAGGGGCACCTTGTGCCAGGGGCACTTCTAGCAACACCCGACTCTCCATCCCCCCCTCCTCCAGTTGTAGAAGAAGCTTCAGGGGATTTGTCTTGGCCTCCTGGATGACTGCTGCTCTGGTAGCTTTACTTGTGGCTTCGGTTGTGAAGACGTCAGGCACTGGGGAATCAGTCAGAATGGTGCTGGAAAGACCCAGTTCCTATCGGGACGCGTCTTGTGTTTATTATGATGAAGCATTCAATGAGGGGTCATGTTCGCAGTGGGGCAGGCGTGCCAGTGCAAGCTATAGTGGACAATTGAATCCTGGCCTGTCTGCGAAACTCTGCATTACGTAACCATGATGGCTCAAGATTGGACCTGCAGTGTCAGCGCTCGGATCTCCCCTTGAAGGCGGAACCGACAGCGCTCGGCGAGCCGCGCGGTACAGCCTCACTGTCCTGTTAACCTCGCCATTCGTTCTCATCTGGCAGTGCAGCTGGAACATCAACTTGGTAGCGGAGCAGGCTTGATTCACTTGTTGTCGACGACATGGCGCAGCCGTTCCCCTCGTGCGCCCAGCAGCTCATGTCTAACCGCAGGGTACCGCCCTCGAGAGATCTGGCGCGCGGGCGCGTACACCTTCCGGGAACAGGACATCTTTTTCCTCGAAGAAGGGATCTGAGCATGGGCCTGCAGTTTCTTGCTGGCGCCATGTTCCCCGCCGACGGCGCGCAACCAGCGCCAGCAGGCCAGCGGCAGCGACGGGTGGAACCCACGGGTGACGGGCACCGGGCGAAGAGCGACCTCGGCCTCAAGGGAGACAGCCGCGGGCTGCAGGTGTTCATGCTCAAATCCCTTTTCCAGCTAGGCTTGTTCAGGCGCGACGTCGAGGGAGTGGTGTTTTACGGCCTGCTCGTGGACGGGAGCTTCCGAGAGTTTATGCAGATGGGCGCCAAAGGAGTGCGATACAACGATGCCATCACCGAAGCGGCGGGCAAAGGACACAACCACCGTCCTCCCTTTTTCTGGGTCTCCGGCGGCCTGCTGACCAAACTACCTCAGCGCAAAGAAGCCGTCGCAGCGGTCAGCGCCAAGAGACTGCTGGAATTACGCCAGATGGTTGAGAATCTGGAAATGGCCAAGAAATGTGTCATGATCAGGTTTTGCAGCATGGGTCGATGCCACGATGCCAACAAACGCAAGCCGACGCCCAAGCTTCACCCCGAGATACGCTCGTGCATCGTCGATGCGCTGGTCCGGTCGGGAACGCCAGCGACCCGCGTGGGGAAGGGGCTACAGGCGTGCCTAGAGGTTTTCACGAACGAGTGCGAATATTGCTCATCGCGGCCTCGGGAACATCGAGCCCATCTCACTCGGCATGAATGCCTTCATGTCTGACCCCCTGCGGGGTAGTCTGCACCGTCGGGGAGGGCAGTTGGCTGACATTTATCTCACCAAGGGGCGGTGATGATGGCGCATCTACAAGGCATGTTGCAATTTGTACACAACCAGACTGGGCTGCAATTGGGAATGGACTTTCATCCCTTGGCTGCAGTTAGCCCTACGCCGGTCACTATCCCGATGCCTTCTATTATTTCGGCTTGCTCCTCTACTGCACTGAGGCTCTGGGCACCTTCCGCCACGCCTACTGCTCCGAGGCCCTGTGCTTCGTCGGCTCCCTCTCCTGCTCCGAGGCCCTCTGCTCCTTCGGCTCCCTCGACCGCTTCGAGACCTTCCTCTACTGCTCCGAGGCTCTCTACACTCTACGCCTTCCACCACGGCTAGTGTTCCGAGGCCTTCGACTTCTTCGGCCCCCTCGACCGCCCCGATGCCCTCTGCGCCTTCGGCCGCGCTTGCGGCCCCAGCAGCTTCGGCGACGCCTTCGAGGCTGCCGCCCCCGAGGGCCAATGCTCCGTCGACTTCTAAATGGAGGGGTCAGCGCCTTGAGGCCCCCGGTTCAGTTTGCGTTGGCATGTGGAAAAAAGCTGCACTTTCTCTGGGGGGGGGCGCGATTTTTTGCAATCTTTACAGCGGCGCGCGCATGGCAATATTCGCGATGGATGAATGCGAGCAATGAGTAGATCCCCCATCTTCCTCTTCGAGGCTTTCTGTGCCCTCCGCGTGCCCTTGAGTCACTCCTCCCTCGTTGTCGCGTTGTCCTCCGCTACTTCTCGTTGGGCCCTTTCTCGGGCGGCGCGTCCCCTTGGCGGTCCTCGGGGCGAGGCGCCAGCTTTCGTCGATGCCCCGAGAACTCCGAGAGCCCCCTCGCCGCTAGCTTTAGTTGCCCCCACGTTTTTTCCTCCGAGCCCGCCGTGGCAGCGCGCGGCAAGCAGGGGGATGGGCGCCCTGGAGTTCCGTTCCGTTCCGCCCCCGCTTGCCGCTCCGCCTTCAAGGGCAGGGCGTGGGGGGGGGGCCAGTGGCAGGCAGCGCGCGCGCGCTCCGCGTCCTTTCTTGCTCGAGCGCTGTCGGAGCTGCCGGGCAGGACCGACGCCAGATGGAGATTTTTTCGTTCCGCAGGTTGAATTGCGCAGCGTGCGATTTTGATCAAGTATAGTTCCCAACCATCCTGTGGTGTTGGGTCCTCGTTTTGAAGAGACGGCGCCCCGCGTTCCTCACCTCCTCCTCCCACCCCCCTCCCTCCTCCCATCATCATCATCATCATCATCATCATCATCATCGCCACCGATTTCGGCACACCCCTCACACGTCTCGTGGCCCCATAGGGAGCTCCACCGAAGGCCCCAGTGGCAGGGTTCGCATGCCTCCCCACCACCCATTTCGGCACACCCCTCACACGTTTCGTGGCCCCATAGGGAGCTCCACCGAAGGCCCCAGTGGCAGGGTTCGCATGCCTCCCCACCACCCATTTCGGCACACCCCTCACACCCATTTTGGCACACACCCTGGTCACATTCGTGGCCCCATAGGGAGCTCCACCGAAGGCCCCAGTGGCAGGGTTCGCATGCCTCCCCACCACCATTTCGGCACACCCCTCACACGTTTCGTGGCCCCATAGGGAGCTCCACCGAAGGCCCCAGTGGCAGGGTTCGCATGCCTCCCCACCACCCATTTCGGCACACCCCTCACACGTTTCGTGGCCCCATAGGGAGCTCCACCGAAGGCCCCAGTGGCAGGGTTCGCATGCCTCCCCACCACCCATTTCGGCACACCCCTCACACGTTTCGTGGCCCCATAGGGAGCTCCACCCCCCCATCCCCACCACCCATTTCGGCACACCCCTTTCGTGGTGGCCCCAGTGGCCGCCTTCGGCACACCCCTCACATTTCGTTAGGGGCCCCCATAAGGAGCTCCACCGAAGGCCCCAGTGGCAAGGTTCGCATGCCTCCCCACCACCGATTTCGGCACACCCCTCACACGTTTCGTGGTTCCATAGGGAGCTCCACCGAAGGCCCCAGTGGCAGGGTTCGCATGCCTCCCCACCACCCATTTCGGCACACCCCTCACACGTTTCGTGGCCCCATAAGGAGCTCCACCGAAGGCCCCAGTGGCTGCGTTCGCATGCCTCCCCACTACCCATTTCGGCACGCCCCTCACACGTTTCGTGGCTCCATAGGGAGCCCCACCGAAGGCCCAAGTGGCAGGGTTCGCATGCCTCCCCACTACCCATTTCGGCACACCCTTCACACGTTTCGTGGCACCATAGGGAGCTCCACCGAAGGCCCCAGTGGCAAGGTTCGCATGCCTCCCCACTACCCATTTCGGCACACCCCTCGCACGTTTCGTGGCCCCATTTTGATTTCCACTGAATGCCCCAGTGACTGGGTTCGCATGCGCCCCCACACCCATTTCGGCACACCCCTCACACGTTTCGTGGCACCATAGGGAGCTCCACCGAAGGCCCCAGTGGCTGCGTTCGCATGCCGCTCCCGCACCAATTTCGGCACACCCCTCACACGTTTCGTGGCCCCACAGGGAGCTCTACCGAAGGCCCCAGTGGTTGCGTTCGCATGCCGCCCCCACACCAACTTCGGTGCACCCCTCACGCGTTTCGTGGCCCCATAAGGAGCTCCACCGAAGGCCCCAGTGGCAACGTTCGCATGCCGCCCCCACGCCCATTTCGGCACACGGTTCGTGGCCCCATAGGGAGATCCACCGAAGACGGTACCCACACCAGCATTACTCACAATTGCATATGGTTGGGTCTTTCGCAACGCTCATTTTTTGCCCAACCATCCTGTGGTGTTGGGTCCTCGTTTTGAAGAGACGGCGCCCCGCCTTCCTCACCTCCTCCTCCTTCCCCCCCCCCTCCCTCCTCCCATCATCATCATCATCATCATCATCATCGCCATCATCATCATCATCACCACCGATTTCGGCACACCC